TGTGTGTGTGTGTGTGTGTGTGTGTGTGTGTGTGTGTGTGTGTGTGTGTGTGTGTGTGTGTGTGTGTGTGTGTGTGTGTGTGTGTGTGTGTGTGTGTGTGTGTGTGTGTGTGTGTGTGTGTGTGTGTGTGTGTGTGTGTGTGTGTGTGTGTGTGTGTGTGTGTGTGTGTGTGTGTGTGTGTGTGTGTGTGTGTGTGTGTGTGTGTGTGTGTGTGTGTGTGTGTGTGTGTGTGTGTGTGTGTGTGTGTGTGTGTGTGTGTGTGTGTGTGTGTGTGTGTGTGTGTGTGTGTGTGTGTGTGTGTGTGTGTGTGTGTGTGTGTGTGTGTGTGTGTGTGTGTGTGTGTGTGTGTGTGTGTGTGTGTGTGTGTGTGTGTGTGTGTGTGTGTGTGTGTGTGTGTGTGTGTGTGTGTGTGTGTGTGTGTGTGTGTGTGTGTGTGTGTGTGTGTGTGTGTGTGTGTGTGTGTGTGTGTGTGTGTGTGTGTGTGTGTGTGTGTGTGTGTGTGTGTGTGTGTGTGTGTGTGTGTGTGTGTGTGTGTGTGTGTGTGTGTGTGTGTGTGTGTGTGTGTGTGTGTGTGTGTGTGTGTGTGTGTGTGTGTGTGTGTGTGTGTGTGTGTGTGTGTGTGTGTGTGTGTGTGTGTGTGTGTGTGTGTGTGTGTGTGTGTGTGTGTGTGTGTGTGTGTGTGTGTGTGTGTGTGTGTGTGTGTGTGTGTGTGTGTGTGTGTGTGTGTGTGTGTGTGTGTGTGTGTGTGTGTGTGTGTGTGTGTGTGTGTGTGTGTGTGTGTGTGTGTGTGTGTGTGTGTGTGTGTGTGTGTGTGTGTGTGTGTGTGTGTGTGTGTGTGTGTGTGTGTGTGTGTGTGTGTGTGTGTGTGTGTGTGTGTGTGTGTGTGTGTGTGTGTGTGTGTGTGTGTGTGTGTGTGTGTGTGTGTGTGTGTGTGTGTGTGTGTGTGTGTGTGTGTGTGTGTGTGTGTGTGTGTGTGTGTGTGTGTGTGTGTGTGTGTGTGTGTGTGTGTGTGTGTGTGTGTGTGTGTGTGTGTGTGTGTGTGTGTGTGTGTGTGTGTGTGTGTGTGTGTGTGTGTGTGTGTGTGTGTGTGTGTGTGTGTGTGTGTGTGTGTGTGTGTGTGTGTGTGTGTGTGTGTGTGTGTGTGTGTGTGTGTGTGTGTGTGTGTGTGTGTGTGTGTGTGTGTGTGTGTGTGTGTGTGTGTGTGTGTGTGTGTGTGTGTGTGTGTGTGTGTGTGTGTGTGTGTGTGTGTGTGTGTGTGTGTGTGTGTGTGTGTGTGTGTGTGTGTGTGTGTGTGTGTGTGTGTGTGTGTGTGTGTGTGTGTGTGTGTGTGTGTGTGTGTGTGTGTGTGTGTGTGTGTGTGTGTGTGTGTGTGTGTGTGTGTGTGTGTGTGTGTGTCTCCTCCTCCTCCTCCTCCTCCTCCTCCTCCTCCTCCTCCTCCTCCTCCTCCTCCTCCTCCTCCTCCTCCTCCTCCTATTCCTCCTCCTCCTCCTATTCCTCCTCCTCCTCCTATTCCTCCTCCTCCTCCTATTCCTCCTCCTCCTCCTTTCCTCCTCCTCCTCCTCCTATTCCTCCTCCTCCTCCCTATTCCTCCTCCTCCCTATTCCTCCTCCTCCCTATTCCTCCTCCTCCTCTTCCTTTTCCCCCTTTTCCTCCTTTTCCTCCTCCTCCCTCTCCCCGTCCTCTTCCTCCACCTTTCTCTTTTTCAGTGATCTGATTGTAACAACTGTCTTCCATTCATTGATTATACTGTTTGTAGAAGGAATAACGCAGATATAAAACCACTTTACCCAATCACAATCATAATCACAGGTATATTTATTGATGAAAGTTGCGTTTTCTGCAAGCATCATATCCTCCTGGCCTAAAAAAAAATAACGTTAATATAGTTGCGTTTGTTTCAGGCACCTCATCCAACCTTCTAAATAACCATTAATAAAGTTGAGTTTATTGCAGGTACCTCTTAAAGTCCTGCACAGAACTATTAGTTAAGTTTACTGCAGGGACCTCCTAAAAGTCCTGTTAGTAACCAGTAGTTAAGTTTATTGCAGGCACCTCTAAAAGTCCTGTAAATACCATTTAGTAAACCTTGATCCAATCATTAAAAAAAATAATTACCTCAAGCACCTCTTCCTACATACTCAAGAAAAAACTTGCTCTACCTTCAATGCAATTTAAAAAATTAAAATAAAAAATTAAAATAACTGACAAATTCCTTTAACTACAGACAGCTCATCCTCCAGTCACCATGGCAACGGTGGCGGACCAGAGGCGGGGCCTGGAAATAAGCCTAGGAGTGGCACTCAAGACCTGGGGAAGGAAAGCTCTGCTGCTCCTCTATAAGGATAGGTGAGGGAGAGGTGTGCTTTTATTTATTTATTTGTTAATTATTTATTTTTTACCAGTGGTTTTGATGATTTTTTTTTTCTTTTTTGTCTTTTGTTACCTTTGTCGTTGATTGTTTGATTTATTATTATTATGTTATTTTTGTTACTAGTGTATTCTTGTTGATATTTCAGTGCATTTGTGTATATATTTGTGTGTGTGTGTGTGTGTGTGTGTGTGTGTGTGTGTGTGTGTGTGTGTGTGTGTGTGTGTGTGTGTGTGTGTGTGTGTGTGTGTGTGTGTGTGAATCATCATTATCATCATCAGCCTGTATCAATCTACTGCAGGACGTAGGCCTTCTCCCAGTCTTTTCCAACTCTGTCTTTTTGTTTCTAGTCTTAGCCCCCAAATTTCATTATTTCGTCACGCCTTTTTGTCACTGGTCTGGTCTTTATATTATCTATATCCCAGTCTGTCCCTTTCTTTGTCCATGTGTCGTCCTGTCTCCGACATGTATGACCTGCCCAGTGCCATTTTTTTTCTTTTTGATGCTCCCAAGTATATCTTCCACGTTTGTCTGTTCCCTAACCCACGTCGCCCTCATCCGATCTCTTAGGCTAATTCCCAGCATCAAGCTCTCCATCCCTCTCTCTGGGCACTTATTAGTTTCCTCTCCAGTAATTTGGTTGCAGTCCATGTTTCGTAGCCATAGGTCATAACTGGGAGGATGCATAGGTTAAAGACTTAATGGAAGGAGCCTATTGAGTCTACCGAAGGCGCTCCAGCCTAGACATGCGTTGCTTAATTTCCTCATCGCTATATGTGTTTGTCTGTACTAGTTGCCCTAGGTATATATATGCTTGTCTTCTACCTCTAGCGCTTCACCTTCTACATGTATCTTTTCGTTTTTTTTTTTTCCGTTGAGAATTCATTTGTTAAAAAGCAGGCTAGTTTCACTGTTGCAATTTCTCCTGCATCTATTAAAATGTCTATACTAATTACGACTTTACCTGGCGTGTGCCCTCTCTTCATGCCTTTAAGCGCTCTTTTTAATTCTTCTGTTGTGATGTTAGGTACCTCTAGTTACCTCGTTCGCTTCTCTCCGTGGCTGTTCATTTGAGTTGTATAGATCACTGTAAAAGTCTTCCACTACTCTTATGATTTCATTCTTATTATATGTCATTTCTCCGTCTGGTTTCTCTATTGCATACACTTGATTTCTCCCAGTTCCGAGTTTTAGCTTTTTCATGCTGGAACCTAAGATCATTGTTTATTATTATTTTAATATTGAATTTCGTACATTTTCTTTCTTTTCTTTATTTATATTCTTCGTTAATTCAGCAAATTCTATTTTTCCCTGTTTTATAATACTTTCATAATCCAACGTTTTTGCATAAACTGTTTAGTTTCTACCAAAAGTTTGCTGGAACTTTGCTTGACGTCCTCACCGCCTACTTCAAATGCAGCTTCCTTTAATATGCTACTGATTTGCGAAGCAGAGCCTCGCCCGGGCTAGGTCCATGAGGGGAGCCCGGTAGTAGTTTGTACCTATTGTTTAGTTTTATCGTTACTGGAGCCACGTTTTCGCTTACACTATAAAATTCCACAATGTACTTTTCTAAGCGTTTGTAAGCTAAGAAACCTACCCCAAATTCCTGCTTGCTACCCTGGGGTTTACCTCTCCAATAGAGCTTGTGTCCATTTAATGAAAGAGGATTCCTCAAGTAAGGCTAGTAAGTCGGATTCAGTTTCCTTTGCCCTTATATGTGCAAAGGTTCATCAACATGCACATGTATACACATATAGACATATGCACATACATATGTGTACACACACACACAAACATTATAATGTGGCCATTCATTATGATGTACATAAATTGTAAGCTTGCAGTAGAGGGGTTGAGGGAAAAAGGCGGGTGATTTGGGAGGGGAGGATTTAGGACGACGTTAGAATGGGTAAGGATGGGGCTAGGGGTTAGAGGAAGTTAGAAAGTAATTTTGTATCTGGCGGGTTTTCGGAGAGGTGTTGCTTTCCTTAGCGGTTGCTAAGCCCACCGGCGTGCGCCCTCGGCCGACCTCGACCACAGGTCAGCGTCTGGCACTCGATTGAGGTGCCATCGCTTGAATTACTCTTTGTTAATGCATAGTTTATGTGGCGGATCTTCTGTCGAGTGGCTTTATTAAACTTGTCCCTTTATGGTAACCATGGTAAGCCTACCTTATTTTGTGATGTACTATACTTACATACTGACGGTTCGGCTGTTCCTTAGCGAATCTACGTAAGGGAAAACTGTAATACTCGTACGATTTGGCCCTGTTACTCAGCGTTTTGTGGGTATGGGGACTGGTGATCCTTGTTATTTTCTAATGGTTTCGTAATTTGAAGTTAATTTTCTGGTGGGTGGGATGATAATTAAATTTTTTTTCTGCTGTTTCTATCTACAGTGGCACTTTCGATGGGCATTGGGACCTTATGAACTTATTTAGCACGGTAATGGAACCTAATAATCCTAGTTGGCAATTTCTGGCACTTTTTAGTTTGAACGGTCCAGTATGCATAGTCCAATATTGAATTTTAAAGACTTGTGAGGCATTTGGATGAATTATTATATATGTTTTGGTTGGAATATAGATATATATATATGTCCACGAATCTTTCTTATGTAGCTAGCCACATGTGTGTGTGTGTATGTGTACCATTGCATTATTCCATCTTCCATTTAGATAGATAGACAAACCGACAGATAGATTGATATTCAAATTCAAGTTCCCTAACCCTCTTTCTCAGGTTTTCAAAAACACATCCAGGCATGGAACCTCATGACATCCTGATGTCAAAGTCGGCGGCGAAGTTTAAGCTGAAGCAAAACAAGGCCCAGGCCGATGCCATCCGAAGTAACGAAGTCGACAGGTTCGACATCAGCGCCCTCCACCTGCTGCTCCGCTATGCGTGCGGCTTCTCAAGCAGAGCCAATCACTGGAAAAATATGGCGACGCTGGAAGGTGGGAGAATGATGACGGTTAGAATCTATGCTCTCACGCACGCACGTGCACACACACACACACACACACACACACACACACACACACACACACACACACACACACACACACACACACACATATCCCCTAGGGGAGTGAACTTGAAGTTGAGTTTTGTATATCCGCAGGCAACATCGAAAAGCTGAAGGATTTACGTAACATGGAGGCCCACTGGACGGAGGAAGTTTACTCTAAGGAGAATCTGGAAGAGAAATGGATCGAGCTTGTGAAGGCTATAACGTTCATTCTGAAGCATGGAGGTCTCGATCAGTGGATACCTATCTTCAAGGAGAATTTGCAGCTGATAAAGCAAGGAGAAGTCTACGACGGGGATAAAGTGCTGTTGCAAAGTATGTATCATACATATATGCTTGGAAATTTAAAAGACTACCGTAAAAATAAGTCTAGTTACTAACTCCAAACGTAACGTAACTCTAACAGAGGTCCCTGTAGATTACTAACAAGACTCTTGCAAACGTTGTCATGGCATTTTCCAGAGGCTCTTCAGAGTGAACTTCGAGATCTGTATAAAAGCGGTCGGAAAACAACGCTCAAGCCCCTTGTGTGGGCTGGTCGCCTCTTTCGATTCACACACAATGCCCTCGAAGCTTACATCACCACCAAATTCTCCTTTAGTCGAGATAAGTACGTCTTTTACTTCAACTCTTTCCTCTGTGCAGACGAGTTTTGCATTTTAGTACTTGCAAGTTCGTGGTTTTATTTTGCTACACTCCTGTGAATATGTCGTTTTTGCATGTAAATGATTATAGAGAAGGAATTGCAATCATTCATCCCTCTCCCCTCACAGGCTTGAGACCTTTATTGAAACCAATGTCTTGTTGGAAAATAGAGGCAGCTGTCAATTTATGGTGCTGCAGGGCGAGTCTGGCACCGGCAAGACGTCACTCCTCCGTTACTTTGCCTCTGTTTGGAAAAGGGAGCAGCCATGTCCTGTATCCACACTTAACAACATTGACTATCTTATGTTCCTGGATTGCAGTGCCGTATCTAGCACTACCTTCACAACTGGTGATATCCTCAAAGAGATTGTCCCAATAACATCCTCCTCCACAAATGTCGCTTCAATTGTGGAAATTTTAAGGCAAGCGACAGGCAGTGTAATGTTTCTGATTGACTCCTTTGACGAGAGACTGGAGGCTTTTCAAGGGTGTTTCAAGGACCTGCAGAGAAAATTTCCTAAAGCTATATTTTTGGTCACCACACGGCCGCATTTGACTCCTGCCATTGGTAACTTGTGCGATGATGTCCCACTGGTTTTCACAGCACACGGATTTAATTGGTCCAGCGCGAGAGCCTGCGTCAGTAAGCTTCTTGCTGTAGAAGATGAACATGAGAACCCAGACAAGCTCCTCAAAATTCTATCACCACACCAAGAACTTGTGAAAATCCCTCAGCTTTTGTGTTGGTGTACATGGCTGTGGCTAGAACAGGGAAACACCATTTTTTCAACGCGTGGAAATATATTTTACAGTTTGACAGACTTCATGATAAGGAAACTCTGCCACATTAGTGATATAAGAATTATAGCAGGAGAACTACCAAAAGCAGGTCAACAGTGGTTAAGTGTAGTGGCTGAATTTGCTTATAACCAGGCGAAAAAAGGGCTAGGTTCATTGAGTAAGACTAGTGAAGAAATTACATGCTTGGAGTCTAAAGCAAAGGATCTTAAACTCAGGCCTCTTGAAGCTCTCTCAAGTCTTATGCAGTGTGACAGCTTTATGTCGGCACATGGAGAACATGTAAATTTCCAGTTCATACACAACTCCCACGCAAACTTTCTCATAGCGTACCATGTTTCTGAATGTCTGAGAAATGACAAAATCACAATTACCAGTCTCATAAAGGACTTGCAAATGGACCAGAAGACCATCTTAACATTTGTGGTTAGTATTCTCTTCCAAAACAAGAAAAAACCTGTTGGATATCACAGACTTCAAGAAATTGCCTCTCTGAGTAGACAGCATGTCAAGTTCTACGATATAAACTTCTTTTTGGATCTCATAGAGGAAAGCCAGTACGACAAGGGCCTTGCACAGGAACTAGCACAATATTTGCCCATTGCTGACGCAGAGCCCTCGCCCCAGATAGGCCTAGGGAGAGTAGGTGACCTGAA